TTATTTGAAAAAATATACTACCATAGAGAATTTTAATAGCATATTTGTATTACATTAATGACAAAAGACAAGGCAAGGTCTGTGGCACATGGCAAGAGTTCCTTTGAATCCTAGACAATATTTGATACTGGAAGCTTTTTGTATTACTTCCAGTAAAGATGTAATGTGGTCAGAATGCACTTGCCTTTTCATTAATATTCCATTTCTTTTGTTATAGTACTTCCAAAAGCATAATGTGTAGATTATACACATATGGTTTAATTTCTTTAAAAATTAATTTGAGATATCTTAAATGAAAATGGTCTATCAAAATTACTAATTTCACAAGTTGAATGCCTCTTTGTGGATAAAGGCAATTTGTGGGTAAATCATATTCTTTAATAGGCTTACTTAGCAATTTATAAACTGGACCTTACTGGGCTTGCTGCGGTAAAGTGTTCCTCTAGCAAAATGCCTCACCAACTTGACCTGATCTCCCCTTAACCAGTGGTTTTGAATTGTATCCAACTGATACTGAGTGTGCAGATTCATAGAACACGATTAGGTAGGCTAGATATGCCCAGGCAGGTATGTGTACACCCCACGATTATGTTCTTCACATTAAAGCTGAGGAGAATTGTTTCAAAATTGGCACAGTGAACTAGGACAAGAACCATGAAAAATTTTAAAGTAGGCAATGGGAAAGAGATGAAGTATAGAAAGCTTTGGAAAAGCTAGCATGTGTCCAAAAACAACAGCAGGTGTGGCCATATGGCAATCAAATTATTAAAGGCATTCTTGCCACACAGCCTTCCAAGAGACTGTAAAGCTCAGACAGCCCTAATGGAGGGATGATTTACTCAGTACATTGTAAGTGTTTCATATTGCCTCATTCACTATTCAGTTCTGAAGGGAATTTAAATCTATTGCAATAAATATGTATTAAAGATTTTTTAAAGAATAAAAATAATTTGTAATTTCATTTTCATATTTAACAGATACCATTATCCCTGAGGTATAATGCTTTGCTAAACTGAGATTATTTTCAAAGTAATAAAATTTTGTAAGGCAAAATCCAATGACACTATGTTACTTAAAGTACTTGGTAATATTAAATTTTGTTTTATTTCCTTAGTCCAAGATGATCACTAATAATGTAATTAAAGTTAATTAATTTATGTCTTTAACCTATAAAAACGTTTTTCAGAATATCTTGAAGCACATTTTCCTATAAAAATTACTTGCTGAAAATGTGCTATATTTATAAAGATTACTTCTCCAAAACTTTTTTGACCTACAAACAAGGACTGTACTATTAACAATCATTCCTAACTGTTTCATTAGTATTGTATTATATTGCTATATTACCAGCACCATTCTTGCGCTGAATGTGTGTGTGTGTATCTGTGTTGTGTATGTGTGTGTGTGCATCTGTGTGTGTATGTGTGTGTATCTGTGTGTGCGTGTGCATCTGTGTGTGTATGTGTGTGTATGTGTGTGTGCATCTGTGTGTGTATCTGTGTGTATGTGTGTGTATCTGTGTGTGTATGTGTGTGTGTGCATCTGTGTGTGTGTGCATCTGTGTATGTGTGTGTATGTGTGTGTGTGCATCTGTGTGTGTGTATCTGTGTGTATGTGTGTGTGTGTACATCTGTGTGTGTGTGTATCTGTATGTGTGTATGTGTGTGTGTATCTGTGTGTATGTGTGTGTGTATATGTGTGTATGTGTGTGTGCATCTGTGTGTATGTGTGTGTGTATCTGTGTGTGTGTATCTGTATGTGTGTGTATGCGCATCTGTGTGTGTGTGTGCGTGTGTGTATGTGTGTGTATGTGTGTCTATCTGTGTGTGTATCTGTATGTGTGTATGTGTGTGTGTGTATCTGTATGTGTGTATGTGTGTGTGTGTATCTGTGTGTGTATCTGTATGTGTGTATGTGTGTGTGTGTATGTGTGTGTATGTGTGTGTGTATCTGTGTGTGTGTATCTGTATGTGTGTATGTGTGTGTGTGTATCTGTGTGTGTATGTGTGTATCTGTGTGTGTATGTGTGTGTGTGCATCTGTGTGTGTGCATCTGTGTATGTGTGTGTATGTGTGTGTGTATCTGTGTGTGTGTGTATCTGTATGTGTGTATGTGTGTGTGTGTATGTGTGTGTGTATCTGTATGTGTGTATCTGTGTGTGTGTATCTGTGTGTGTGTATGTGTGTGTGTATGTGTGTGTGTATCTGTGTGTGTGTGTATCTGTATGTGTGTATGTGTGTGTGTATGTGTGTGTGTGTATCTGTGTGTGTGTATGTGTGTGTGTATGTGTGTGTGTATGTGTGTGTATCTGTGTGTGTGTGTATCTGTATGTGTGTATGTGTGTGTGTGTGTATGTGTGTGTGTGTGTATCTGTGTGTGTGTGTGTATCTGTATGTGTGTATCTGTGTGTGTGTGTGTGTGTGTGTATCTGTGTGTGTGTGTGTGTGTATCTGTATGTGTCTATCTGTGTGTGTGTATGTGTGTGTGTATCTGTGTGTGTGTATCTGTGTGTGTGTGTATCTGTATGTGTGTATCTGTATGTGTGTATGTGTGTGTATGTGTGTGTGTGTATCTGTGTCTGTGTGTGTGGTCTAGGGAAACATTCCTGATTTTCCCTTAGTTCTTATACCCTGAGGGAAAACATGGGCTTTGTTGAGAACCCAAAGATAATCATCAAAACTTTCCCCTGATCAACCAACCATTCACAATCATATACACACCCTTTATTAAGATGGTGACAACCTAGCCTATGATAAGAAAGACTAGATTCATAGTTGAAATTTGAGTTTTGGTTTATTTTATTTTTTTATTGTTGTGCTGAATGGGGGTATATTGTAGCATTTACAAAGTTCTTACAATGTATCAAATATATCATACTTGAATTCCTCAATTCCATTACTATCTGCTTAGAGGAAACACCATATTCCCTATTTTTTATGACCAAAATTTTAAATAACAAAATAGAGAAAGGAAAACTAATTATTCAAACAAATGAATGGATAATAATTTAAGTATTGACTAGTTCACTTAACAGCATTTTCTCAAGCAGGATTGTTATGGTTATTTTGAATAAATAGAAATTATCTTGTCTGCATAGGAAATATTGAGCTGTTAGTTTCTCAGAATGACTTATTATACTTCAATTGAAATTAGTTTATGTCTTTTTTACTTAATAGAAGGCCAAATGTCTGCAAATTGTTTTTTGTGAGGATTTTTTTCTCAGAAAAGGAGCTTTTAACTTTTTTTGGAAAAATTTAAAAGTTACCAAAATGTAAAAAAATGTAAAAGGATAATCATTGGCCCTCTCCCTCAAATGTTAAAACTCTTAGTATACACACACACACACACACACACACACACACACACATATATATGCATATAATATATATATATATTTAATGATAGGACTGGGGTTTGAGGTCATTTGCTCTGATTACTTTGGAAATGGGGTCTTGCATGCTATTTGCTTGGGCTGACCTCGAACCACAATCCTCTCGATCTCAGACTCTCAAGTAGCTAGGATTGCAGGCGTGAGCCACCAGTGCCTGGCAAAACTCTTAGTATTTTGGCATACTTTCACTAATTATTACAATAAAACACATGACTAAGCCTTTTGATACATGTAGAGTTTTCTTTGCTCTCATATGAGAGGCAACCACTAACATGATTTTTTTCTTTCCTTGTAAAAACTATGTATATATGCATCAATCAAAATTATTGTGTGCAGTATTTATATTTGTGTATATGTTTATAACATATATGTCATACTGCATATATACTCAATATATATGTGATAAAGATGTTTCATCTTATGTTTTCACTCAACTTACATCTTGTTTTGTTTTGTTTTTATGGTGCTGGGGATTGAACCCAGGGCCTTGAGCATTCTAGGCAAGTACTCTACCTCTGAGCTATATCCTAGGCACTCAACTTTTTCTTAAGTGTGTCCTTTGGACCTATATAAACCTACTTCTCTTTTTAATTTTCATAATATTTTACCAGAGAACAGAAAATATTTTATTTACTAATTCTTTTATTGATAGGTATTTATAAAAGCCTTTCTTAATAATGTCATTCCATTAGTGCTTAGGCTTAACATTTGTATAATCACAAAAATATTTAAATCCTTAAGACTTGTAGGTTTAAGGCACATAGCCAAACACTCTTGAATATTTACCTCTGGATGCATTTTCTTAATTATGTTTCAAATATAAAAAATGGCAAAAAATTCAAGATATTATTTTTTAGCATCATGTATAATTTGTTCAAACTTTACATTAATGTTTTTCATAACTAGTCACTTCTATTTTATCTTCCTGTCATTTTAAAGAAAGAAAGTGTAATTTCCCAGAGGCTTTAAGAATTGGGGGAGTATTAAATGTGACCAAAATTAAGTGATTAATTATTTACTTTTAGATCATGAATCAACTTTATGTGATACTAAGGATCATTTGCAACCTTAGAGTATAAGAAGTAACAATGCACTTTCTAAGACTCCAGAACTCTCAAAGGTTGGCTGCCTGACATAATTAAACTTCAATCTTCTGATACCAAATTTATTTCTTCTTTGTACTGAATTTCCTCAGATCTTCTTGACATGAAATGTCACTTTACCTGACAGCTGATAGGCAGGTTATGTAGCACACAGTAATTGGAGAAAAAGGATAGCTTAAAGCTACTTGATTTAATGGCTATGTGTATAGCTTTTTCTTTCTCTTTTTCTTTCCTTTCCTTTTTTTTTTTTTTTTTTAAGATTTCTATGACAGACACAAAAGGCCTTAACAAATAGGCCCAGTGCTATTTTTTTTCTGCTTGCTCCAGGGGTAATTATCTTACTCCATCAATTGTGCTGTCAGAAATTGGGCACATAATTCAGCATTTAAATGAACAAGCAGTGTAATATTTCCTGTCTCCCAGTGGAATGCTTTCCAGTTCACATTCTTCTCTGTCACTCGCTCACTCTTGATATAATGCCTTCTCTCCCTTGTGTTTCATTGCAGATGTTGGCTCCGACTTGACACCTACTTCATTTGGAGTTTTATAGGGCCAGCGACCTTGATAATTATGGTGAGAACTCCTAATTTACTATGTATTTCCTAGGTCAGGAAATAAAACTTTCACTATCCCTGTACTGAGTATCCTTAATTTACATAGATTAATTTGGGGAGAACATGTACTTATTTGACCCTACATAACTCAAGCAATTAGGCCCTCATTATAGACTACTTTTTTATTGTAAAATAGTTCATCAAAACTGGTGGGAAAAGAAAACATGCATTTGCAAGAGTTGTGCAATGTATGACTTCCCTGGAATCCAACCCAGCATAATCCAGTACTTACACAGATAATTGAACAATGATGACATTAACTTTGACAACAGTGTATTCCCATTCTTTTTCTTTAGGATAATTTAAATGGAACATGGACTGTTCCTTCTAGTTTTGTTTTTCATATATATCTTTAAAACTGAAATTCAAAACTTTTTACTTGAGAATGGCACAACCAGTTAGGCAGGTATTCTGGAATCATCTTCCTATTTTATTTTTAGCTGCATAATATCTTTATTTCCAATCTGATTTATACTAATTTAGATACTATTGTTTAAAAAACATAAAATCCCTATTCAATTTTGAAAAGAAATGTTAGCCTATTGACTTTGAACAAAATACAGGTCTACAGTTTCTTAACCTGAAAACTTTTGGGCCAGATTTATTTTGGAAATAAATGTTTCAGACTTTGGAAAGGCAATATGGTGCATACACTGCTTAATGTGTCTATACATATTATACATTATATATGTAATTATATATTACATATACTTATAATTAAATATGTATTAGCATAATACATAGTATATTATATATCATATAGTAGAGTATATTATATATCATATAGTAGAGATATAATATATATGGTAGGGAATATATACATATATATATATATATGTATATATGTATATGTATGTATTTGCCCCAAATCAAACACATTAGTATAAATCAGTACTCATGGTACATGAGATGCTAGGCAGCACTTTGCAACCAAATATTTCAGAAAGCAAAAGGGGGAGAAGGGAAGGTAAGAGCAAGTAGAATAACGACTAGGGACAGCCTCATGCCAATACAAATCAGGTTTTCTCACCAAATGCATTCCGTTTGGATTAGGCTTTTTAACCACCAAATAGATATTTTAAAGTCTTCCCCTTTTGAAATTTTCTTTCTGTCTTTTTTTCTTTTGGATTTGCCAATGATTGATAAAAGATTATGAACTTGTATTATAGGGTAAATTTTGGACTTTCCTAGTATCCATCAGTTCCAAGTCATAGAATATATGAACTAGTCAGGTGGTAAAGGGCAATTCAATATATGCTCTTCTATACAGTTTACTGTGAGTTGTGTAGGTAATTTACACAATTTAAATTGTGTCTGTCTGGTTTCAGTGACCTAACAGCATCATGATAAGCTTCCTCTACTTTAATATTAGTTTGTTGTAGCTTCAGCATTTAACCAGCATTGTCTAATCCTTCTTAAGATACCTTGTCAAAATTGTATTGATTACATTTTATATTTATATTTTATATAATATTTATATTTATATTTTATAATGTAACATTTGAAAACATATCCTAAATAATCAATTCAGAGAAACGTTTGCCTGCAGAAACAGCAACACTCCTAGAATAGTTATGGTTCTTTGTCGGTTGGTTGGTTCATTTGAAACACAGACCGAGCTTTGAGTTGCACACTGCTGCTGAATTTGTCTTTGTAAGTATGTAGCACACGGTGCCCATAATGCAGTGCATCCCAGCTCCCCAAACTGGCTTCTGGCTGTTACTAAAATACTAGACAGTCACCTGTGATCCAATTCCTTTAAAAGCACACTGAGAACTAATTTACCAGAACAATTCATTTGTAACGGAGAATAGACTTGTCGTTTTCTTTACTCCAGTTATGCTACATAATGTTGCTTTTTGCATTCCAGCTTAATGTTATCTTCCTTGGGATTGCTTTATATAAAATGTTTCATCATACTGCCATACTGAAACCTGAATCGGGCTGTCTTGATAATATCAAGTAAGTGATTATTATTTTTCCTTTAGATTGTACTTTGAAACCATTTCTGTTTTTTATTGTATCAAATAGTATGACAAAATTATATTGAAAACCAGTGTACTTCTTTGCTGAATAAGACCACTTGTTGACTAGTGAGGTGACTTGATCTTCTTAAAAATATAGTAAAGCTTTCTCCGTACTGTTTCCTTAAAACTCTAATTTAAAATATAAAATCCAATACCTGTATTTGTGACAAAGCAAATTTTCAGGACAAATTAAAATCAAATACAAAGTTTTTAGATTAGTCTATCATTTTGTGGAACAATCACTGCATCAGTTTCACACACACCCTCCTCCCCACTTCAGAGATCCAGATGGTATCTGCAAGCACTAAAAGGCGGATTTTATACTACAAGAGAGAACCCTAATATATAGGGTGTGTTAGAGAGTTGTCCTCCTCCCCTCCTGCTAGAAGGAGAGAAGCCTCCCTAATGTAAACAAGTACAGGTTTTGTGTACCCTTTATCTAAAATGCTCAGGACCAGAAGAAATTCATATTTTAAAGTTTTTCAGATTTGGGAATATTTACATAAACTTTACTGGTTAAAAAGCCCCCAATCTGAAAATCTCAAATCTGAAATAATCCAAAATCTGAAACTTTTCAATAGTTTTGTTCATATTTCGGAACATTTTGGATTTAGCATTTTAGCATGGGGATGTCCAACCCTTACTTTGAAATATTAATATGTGATTCTGAGTTTTACCTCCTTTTGAAATACAGAACTTTATGGGAGATAAATATCTACAAAAGTGTCTCTCTAGTCAATCATCTTCTCACTTTCAAAGTTTGTCCTTTAACTCAAAGTCCATTTTTGTATGTTCAGAAAGCTCTAACCATGCAGAGATATGAAAATATTCACATTACTTTTTCACTTAAGTAGTATTTAATATACACAAAAGTATCAAATTTACATTTTTTGAAAATAAAAATAGTTGATTCCTTGGTACAATGAAAAAAATTTATCTTATAATACCTTAGAGTTCTTGACACATGAAAAACAGTAATGTTGAGATGCACATTAGTCATTATGTTAAATTACATTTTCATATAATCTGCATACGTATGTGTTAATTTGAGTAAATAATTTTGCTTAAATCAATGTACATTCAGAACTTTTCAGGAGATCACCTGTAACTTTCATATGTTACTGACATTCTCCACGAACTTGTTCAGATAGTCATGTATCAACTATTGTCTTTCTTTCTCCATTCAGTATCTGACATAGTTCCTGGCCCATAGTAGACCTTCAATGAATGTTTAAGGAACAATATACTATGTCAAGGATTTTAATGACAAAGATTATTGACATTAAGCAGTTAATTTTGTTGAAGACTTCATTTTTCTACATTAATTGAAAAGGATAGCCTAGGAATTAGAAAAATAAAAATTTCATAGGCCAAACTAAGAATTACCCACAAATGAGTAATGGCCTGTGCAATTCTTTACTTTGCTGAGATGGTAATCATTACATTATTATTTATGTGCAGTTAAAATTTCATTCTAAAATATAGTATTTATTAATTCCACAGACTGTTCCTGATAAAATTAAATTAGGATAAATCAAATAGCACCACAGAATATATCTTCTTTACCATCATACTTTTCTCAAGTTAGTATAAATTGCATCTTTAAACCTGTTATTCTGTAGTATAAAATAAGACACAAGTAATTATTTTTCATCTATGTAACTTTCTTCAAGTACCATCAAAAGAAATGAGTCAAACTTTGTTGTTTATGTAGCAGTTTCTACCAATTTAAAAATTAGGGAAAAAAAGGCTCATTCTTTGTCCTGTTCTTCAGATATACTTTTAAGGCAGTTTCGTAAGAGTTGTTTGTCCAATCCAACAAAGGCAAAGACCTTTGCTAGTCTTCTCTTTGTAAGTTGTACTTAGTGCTGTTACATATATTAAAAGATCAATCTGCTCATTATTAATAAATATTTCCCTAGGTAATGCTGATTGATAATATCATTTAGAAAACCAGTATTGATGGCATCAAGGTTTATTTTATAAAGCAAAATAAAACCATAAATGGGGATGTCTTGTATTCTGTCTAAATTGATTGCTAGAGATTCAGGGATGTAGCTCAGTTGTAGAGCACTTGCTTGGCATGCTCAAGGCTATGGGTTCCATCCATAGCACCACAAAAATTAAAATAAACTTCCTCCTAACAAAGGATTTAACTTTGCTTAGTCTTCCTTTCCTCTTTACAATGGTAAAACAAATGATGGACCATGACTGATGATTGAATGAGCAGATGAGTACAAACAGCCTTTGATAATGCTTTTTAAAAATTCCATAAGGAAAGGGGAGAAATCAAACAATTTTTAGAAATTGTATGCAGGATAGTTTTAACATGGAAGAAACAGATTAAGAATATAGTATAAACAAAGGAATAGGGAATCACTGTTAGAGTTTTGTGTCAAAAAAGTGCAGTGAATGTGATCCAGGACAAAGGAGCAATTCTCCTGTTAGACTCCAGAAAGAAGACTCTTCTACCAAGCTAAAAGAAGCCAGGAAACAAGCTTTTTCACCGAGAGTGTCACACAATAGGTGTGATACAGATATGTTGATGGAACAAGGATAGAACAGTAAGTTGAGGAATTTCTGCCTACTTTCCTTGATTAAGTAGGAAATATGGTCTGTAAGTCAAGGGGACATGTTGAAGAGATAAGAAAGATATCTCCAGAAAAAATTCTTTAGAACTTTCCAGAATATGAAAGTAAATACACTATATCTAAAGTGCATTGTGTTAGCTATTTAAGAAGTGGTTCTAAACAAATCGATAGGCATAATTGAAAATGAAAAATGGATTTTGAGAATACAAGTGATTTTAAACATTAAGCAAAACACAAAACATGGGATCATTTTTTCCTAATTTTTAATTTTTCCATTATTTTGCGTCTAAATTTTTGATAGTTTATTGCGCTACATGTGGTAATTTTTCAAATTCTATACTTATTTTTGAGTACAGCAACTTCAAGTGCCCGAATCTCTCTTGCCTCCACCTTCCCCTAGCCTTCAGCCTTCATCTCTGAACTTGTTCTGGCTCTCTCTGATCTTCATCGTGTATTTGTTGTCCTTGAGAAAATTCAACATAAATATTATATTACACCAAAACAGCGTTGACCGGTAGTATTGACGATAACAGAGATAATCGCTGTATCATGTGGATGGATTCTTTTCTGGCTGATTGTATTCAACGTATATACAGTGAGTACTTTTCACCCACCATTAGGTCTCTTCTATGACTCTAGCGTAGACCCTCATCTACATATCTTAGTATGTCCTTCGCATAGTAGTCCTGTCAGTCAACGACTAACTACTCACCGTCCCTGTCTCGTCTTCGCTTTAACAGGTGATGCTACATCGAGACCACTTATCAAGTTTTTGGTTTCTTAGTACCCGTTCCGGCTGTTTCTATCTTCTTGTGTTGAATAGTCGTTTCCGCCCTTTTGTTGTGAACCGGAGCAGTGTCACCCTTGCATTTGTGATATAGTTGTGCATAATCCATGGAATGAGAGAGGAAAATGTGATTTTTTTTGGTCCTTCTGAGCCTGGATTGTAACAAAATTAGCATTATATTTCATATGGATCTTTACTCCCCAGTTCCATCCTATTTTTACTGTTGGGAATGAACATAAATTTCACTCGTTCTTTGTGACTTGACATTTAAATATTTCCTACCTTGTTCTGTATAATAATCCCTATTCTCGCTCACATTCTTCTTAAATTATTATATTGATGCCTAGTTCAGGGTCGTATCTATAACCTTACGTCCCGATATTTTGGCTCTTGTGAATTTAGCTGCCTCGGTGACGGGATTAAATTTGGGTTGTTATGGTGCCTTTTTAATTAACCAGTCTGTAGTTCACATTTCTTTCAAGGTTATATCCTTTCTTCCCTTATGGAGGTGATTGAGTTATTTTGTCTGTAATATTCTCAATAAAATGTGCATACCCAGAATGTTTGGAAGGTTCTGATTTCTCCCTCATGGGCAGATCTTCATGTTTAAAGTTT